AGCGGCTCATGTTTGTGGCGCAGTGTTAGCGTTAGCAACACTGAAGGGCTAATGTTGCTTTGCTACAGTGAAAAAGAAAAAATAAATAAAATAAAAAAAGACAAGGGGACATTGAGCCCCGCTTGCATTCACTACATGCACATGGCATGACACCTAAGAACCACAGCATCCAAACCAATAAGTCAGGTGATGGGGCACATGACCCTCTATGAACAATAAAACTAATCAAGCCTATTGTTAGKCRATGGYCCTCTTTTGCATGTGACTAACCTGTTTGTCCAGGTGGAGGCAGTGCTTATAAGGCTGAGTTCACCTGAAACTCATCAGACTGAAGAATAGAGATGGGATAAACGGCTCTTTGAAGGGATCTGGATCTTGGGGAGCCATTTGTTTCAAAAAAGCCGTTCGATTTTGAACGTATTACGTCATCACGTAGGGAAATATGTCATCACGTAGCCGTACGTAATGRCGTAATCCCGTCATGTGGGTGGAACCATGTGTTTTGTCAAGCGGAAACCCACCTCCCCCTTTCCTGTGAGCCTCTGTACTCCACAACTCCGCCTGTTTTCCRTGAAAAMGCAAAGCGGGAGCGATTTAAGTATGAAGAWATAAAGATTATATGAGGAATAAAGGAAATAAAACTACAAATGGCTCRTTACTGCCAGCGACTCAGCTCCTATGRTTCGTTGWAAAGAGCYGTTCAAAAGATTCGGATCRTTCGCGAACGTCACATCTCTACTGAAGAAGTCTCTTGGGAGGAGAGACGAAAAGTTTCGCTAAAGAAGAACCCATCCAGAGGACCTATATTTGTTCTTTTTGTTTTGGATTACTGAGATGCATCAGTACACTTTACTACAGTGGCTCTTGAAGTCCAAAAAGGTGCATGTTTCCTGTAGCTGGTTCGGTTTGAGGCCGGTCTGTATTCTCACCTGTCCTGATCAACAGGGGAAACAAACTGGTCCGTTTACCAAATATATCAGGTGTGAATAGCTGTATTACAGCACTCTGACCTGGACTGGTCTGAGGATCTTCTTGTTGACCACATTTTTCTCTGAGTTAAATATTCTCATCACTAAAAGTGTAAAGTCGTACAGTCATCCTGTCATAACCCTGATCTGTTTAATGTACAGCACTGCTGCAAGCATTTAGTGCGACTTGTCTAAATGGTTTTTATTGTTTTTAATGAATGCCTGACGAGGAGCGAGGCTGCCGGTGCTGGAGTCTGACCCTGACCTCTGTGTGGATTTAGTCCTCTCCATGTCCCCGAGTTTAGATTCTAATAATAACTAATGCGGTTGCTGACATCAGCCGCCCCTCATTAAACTGATTAATAGCCTTGCCATTTCTTTTGTAAACCAGCGAAGCCGTATTTCAGTTTGTTCCAATCAAATTAGCTAAATATTATTAGACTCCAAGTTTTTGGTGTGACCGGGCTGTAAGCCCTCRCTGCCCATCATTAACGCTGTGAAAGAATCAAGTCATGCAGGGCAGAAGTTTAGCCTGAATCAATTTCCTAATGGTTAATGGCTAATGGACTGATTTATAGTCGTGTTTGAGTAGTGAAGGCCTGTCGTGTCCTCGTCGTGTGGCTCTGACCCCATGCAGCCCCTCAAAAGCCTGCAGCACTTTAATGCTGCTCTCAGTCWCTGTTGTACAGAAAGCTGGAGTTTCAACCTTTAATCAGTGAATTTAAATAAAAATATTTGGAAAAAAGGTTTTAATCTTATCTTYATTTAAAAATGTGTTCTGGGAGATGAAATTGTAAATACTAGTGGTGTAACAATCCATGATCAGTGGATCTGTGTTTGACTACTCACCCTATAGGCTGCGTTGTGGAGCACAGATCCACTGAGAAACTTGTTTCAGCAACATTGTTGCAAATAATTAATTTAAATAAATTACAAGTTAAAATGGGCAAAAACACTTCTCTTTTTGCATCAAAAATATTGAACAGTGTGACTAAAGTATTGAAGCAAACTGAATCGTGACGTTTCTGAATCGATGCAGTYGTAATAAATACGTGGGTAGGTACGAAGTGATCAGTGGTAAATTTGGTGCTGAATGAGGATTTGACCTGCAGATGAAAACAAAATGTACAAACCTGCAACRCTCTCTGACCAACACGTTCTCAACAAAATATCTGCTCCTGCTTAAAAACCAACCAGCTGAATGGATTTATAACCAAAATAACTGCTTCTACTGTTAGAAACAGCAGCTAYGGTGGAGGAACTGAACCTCATGAAATTAATTATTGTCAAGTTTAACATATTTTTAAATGTTTGTGCTCACACAGTAACTGTACCTGCCTGTCTGGAAACATTGTTTTTATGATGGTACAACTGTTAGGAGTGATGTTAAGCAGGAATATTACACAACTTTAGGGAATAAATACWTGTTTTTACAATGTTTATTTTTAAATGTCTTCATGGTCTGACCCTACAGTATCTGTCTGAGCCGCTGCAGACCACTTCCTGTTGGTTGTCTCAGAATCAAAGAGCTAAATGTAGCTTCAGACAGGCCGACTCACTTCCTGTTTTCAAATCTTAAAACTTGTTTTTTCTCCTCGTCTTTTAGCTCAGYTTGAGATGTTGGTTTTAACGTTTTTTGTGATTTTGTTTAACTTATTGTTTGTATGTGTTTTTATGAGCGTACCGCAGTTTGTTTTTATGAATAAAGTTTTATTGTACAGTATAATCATTTTGAAGTAATGACRGTAAGACTGTGGTGATGAAACGAGAGGTCAGTTTTGGTTTCAGTAAAACTGATTATTTTCCATCAGACAGGAATGAAAAGAAGCAGCTGAAACACAATTATCAGTCAGGAGGAGATCATTTAAGCTCAGTGTTTTTTGGACAGGATTGTGTGAAACATTTGCTCCATATGGCGTCTTAAGACTTTCTCCAATCATTGAAGCCATATTCATTTCACCGAGATGTTGAGGATTGAGATGAAGACTGTGAAGCAGATGATTGATGGGATTAGTTTATTCCACATGATGAAATGTGATGAATGGATTACACAAAGCTTGGGAGTAAAGGCCTTTAATTGTGCTGCTTGGTGACGGTTGACAGCTTTGGGACTGTAGTGACAGCAGTCAGACGGTGAAGGAAATGCAATCTTAAGCTCCAGATTTCACTCTCTCTTTATTGACTCATCAGAACGCAGWTGACATTTTAGCAGAAAGATTTACAGGCTCCATTTGGGGCTGGATTGATCTGTCAAAGGCAGCTCTGATAAAATATTGAGGAAAAAGTGCATTAATGGGTTTGGTTTGATTGATTGTGCATTTTTAAGGGTGGCTTTGAAGCACCCTCATTACTGTTCAGCTGTTATTCCTCCGCACGTTTGGATTTATTAGTCCTCCCACAGCTTTTAAAAAATTAATACAAAATTACACAAACGCGTGGCTCAGATGGTAATAAAGTTATGTAGTTTTTATTAGCAGTACTTCATAATGTGTAGATAAAACCTACGTATTAATAACGGTGGGATCTACAGCTCAGTCTTTACTTCTGAAGTCTGGGTCTCTCTGCTTAGGCTGCTACCTCTGAGACCATGGATAAGAGGAAGAAGATGGATGGATGGCAGGGGTGGAGCCAGAGGGGTGGCCAAGGTGGCAAATGCCACTCCTGGCACCTGATTGGCCACCCCAGGCACCACCCCSAAATGACTGACAAGAGGTGGTGAGGATCGTATTTGGCAATAAAATATCCGATCAGTGTGGGGGGACTTTTCTATTCCACTGATTTAATTTTTAAAAAAGGCAACAATTCCACCAAATTTTAGCTCAAAATGTAAAAAAATAGCTGAGTTATAGTGTTTGAATTTAGCTTTGGTGGACATATTTTGTTTTAAAATCTGTTGGGCATCACTCTCAGCTACCGCCATGCTAAATTTCAGCTTAGTATCTCTAAAAGGTTAAAACTGAGATTTTGAAATGACTGGGGTTGTTCTTAGCTACCAGCTTACCATATTTCAGCTCAGTATTTCTAAAAACTCATCCTTCATCAGCATAAAGTGCCGTGTGTAGGGCGCTGAACATGAACATGCCTTCCTACTTCCTGTTCCAGGCTGAATGTTTCTAAAGCRTTTATCAGTTTTCTTCAWTTGTTGTGGCAGCCGACAAAAACACAAGTTGAAGCCGAACTCTCAAGCTGAAAACAAACTGGTTTTGTTATCAGAACTCTCTGAATGAATGAATCTCTGGTTCMACTTTGCGTACAGGAAATCTGAAACCGGCGAGCGGAAAGACTGCTCTGTCATGGCAGCCTTCGCTTTTACAGAAACCTGTAAGCCCTTCGTAAAATTAGCATTAGCGGTTAGCTTCACTTGGGACTTACAATCATTCTTGGCTACTATTATATAAATATTCAGCTGTGTATTTAATGGCCCTTTAAATTTAGCTGTGGTGGCCATCTTAAATTTTCAAATCCACAGTAGTTTATTTATATTTGTCCCCCTAAATAACACCATGGCCACCCCTGTGCCACCCCTTGTAAAAACATCTAGCTCCGCCCCTGCCTCAGAGTGTCAAACTTAGAATAATGATGTCAAATTAACCGTGAGGTTTTCTATTTTTTCAACATATTTTCAACAACAAACACTACATTTTTTATTTACATTTATTATCCAGTTTCTACATTTCTATGTATTTTAACAAACTAGTTACTCTTTTCTAGTTTTGTTCAGTGTTTCTGCAGCTGGAGAGGGCTTTAACGTCCCAGTGGAAACAGGAATTTTAGATAAACTCAGTGATTCTTCCTGACACCAAACTGATGTGATTACTGGCAGTTCCCTCACGACACATTTATAAAGTCTGATTAAAAAAAGGACGAGCATCATCATTTTAGGAGAAGCTCTGGTTTTTGCCCAAAGCGTTACGTTAGCCAGAGTTGATTTAATTCTTTTCCTCATCACTCACAGTTCTCATCTTCAGGCGAACATTCTGTGTAACGGCTGCAGTAAARATATGAAAAAGTCCGAAAAGTAAGTGAGAGGAGGGTTCTGCCTGTGGCCGAGGCTGCAGCTGCAGCTTCCTGTGGAAGAACACGTCGGAGGAGGTGTTTTAAAGCATCCTTCTCCTTCCTCTTCTGCTTTCAGAGCACCTGAAGGCRGCGCTGGAGGAGTACATGGTGCAGCTGCCCAAGGTTCGGATCCTGAGGACCAAGAAGAGGGAGGGTCTGATCCGGACCCGGCTGCTGGGAGCCTCCTCGGCTAAAGGCGAGGTCATCACCTTCCTGGACTCTCACTGCGAGGCCAACATCAACTGGCTGCCTCCTCTGCTGGGTGAGGAACACTTCTCACAGCCTCTGTTTGATGTGCTTCGTTTCATACTGCAGCTCAAAGACCGGTCCTCAGAAAACACCTGCAGGTCCACTGGTTTCATGTCTGTACTTTACATTTTTAAAGCTTTGTACCAGGCAGTGTWAGAAACTCCCTGAAAGCATTCTGATCATTTCTTTCATCTTTAATTTGTTATATTTTCATTTTTCCAATTAATTACAATCCTAAAAACAACGTCTAATACATTAAACACTTTACAAACAACCTTTGAAGTCATAAAGAATTAAAGGTGTTTATTGCAAACATTAAATGAAACATTAAAAGCTTTTATTCTGAAGTTTCTCAAAGGATGCAGTGAGTCACAATAAACATAAACTTACAATAAAACAAGCGACTCTGTTAAAAACAGGATCTTTCGTGGTCTTAAATACATTCAGAGAGATCAGTTTTTTAAGTTTAAACACAAGGTTTCAGTTCTGACATGAGGAAACACTAAACTTTTGTCTGTCCTGAGACCAGAGGCTGTAGTTGCTGTTGTTTAAAGATGTTTTGCGTTCCTTGCATTTATTGTTGTCAAAATATAATGAATTAATGCCTTATCAATGTATCATTTAAATGAATTATCTGAAATATAATCATAAAATTAAATTTTGAAGCACTTTTTGAGCAGTAGCAACAACAAACCTGATTTAGAGGAAAAACGCCTTAAAATTTTGAGATTTTCCTCATTAACTAGCAAAGTTTTGTTTCTTTTTAGCCGGGAAATCTCAATATTCAAATATAATTTGATGTTTCCTCTTTATAAGGACATCAAAAATTCCTAATTAAAATGACAAAATTAGGATTCAGACTAAATATTTATGTATTATTGTAACCAACAAGACAAATTAAGTCATATATATGGATTTAATTATGATATCAGAATGATCCAGGTATCAAAATGTAGCTTTTAAAGCCAAGAATCTGAAAACGTAATTAGGTCATTTTAACCAAATTTGACTTAATCCTCATTTTGATATAATGACTCACATATGTGCTTTAATTTGTCATTCATTAAGAGTCCCAGATATTTGAACATAGTTTAATTTGTTGACCATCACTAGTGGTAATGACAGACTGGTTTCACCTCGGTGTTGTTGAGTTGATGAAAAATATTAGCTTTACTTTGTCAGCATTCAAAAAAGCTGAAGCTGATAAAGATGTTTTTGTATTGTATTAAATGCATTTCTTTCTAAAATCATTAATATATAAAATAAATAACGAGTGGCCTGGTACAGAGCCTTGATGAGTTTAAGATTTGACCTGTTTTCAGTCACTGCAGCTGTTTTGTTGGCAGTTAGTCACACATTTAGCTTTTAAACATTTAATAATCATCTTTTGTGTACCTGATTTTAAAAAGTAGTTTTTAAGACTAATTGTTTCCATTTTTGAAGCTGTTCCCTGTTTTTCTCRACACATGAAGTGTTTGAGGAGCAGCTTGCAGACATCTTTGTCATTTCTTTGTCCTTGAATCTGAATCTGCTTCTCCCTCCGCCTCAGACCGGATCGCCCAGAACAGGAAGACCATCGTGTGTCCGATGATCGACGTCATCGACCACGACAACTTCGGCTACGAGACGCAGGCGGGGGACGCCATGCGAGGGGCTTTCGACTGGGAGATGTACTACAAACGCATCCCCATCCCCACGGAGCTGCAGAAGGACGACCCCAGCGAACCGTTCGAGTGAGTGCAGTTATTTCTGACACGTGTGACATTTGGCCCGGCCATTTTGTCCTGATTATCTGATTGTGTCAGGAGTGCATGCATCTGCAGGAAACCTTTCATCTGAGCGTGTTGCACAGGACCTTGTAATCCTGGCTATTCAGTGAAGCTCTTTTGTGTGTGCTGACGCGTTGGTGCACACATCTGCACACATGTCCACCTGCATGTGTGCAGCTTCTGCTAACAGCCACATTAAAGAGACAAATGTAAACGTTAATGACTTCCTGCCACACTTCAACCTCTGCATTAAGATAAGATAAGATAAGGTAAGGTAAGGTAAGGTAAGGTAAGGTAAGGTAAGGTAAGGTAAGGTAAGGTAAGGTAAGATAAGAAGATAAGGTAAGGTAAGGT